AGATAATATCTGGAACAGAATTAAGTATGGACAAATAGATTGCAACTTTCCTTTGAAAAATCCATCTGAGGGCCTCATTTTCACCAAAAAGAGCCTTAAGCTAAAGGAGTCTCTAAACAATCAAACTGCCACTGAAAAAGAAGCTCAAAACAGACAAGAAAAAGGGATGAGGGCTGGAGGACGTGTGGAACTTGAATACTCTGACATAAAGGATGATCGGAAGCATGGAACACCTCGAACTCCAACACAAATCACCGCCAAAAAATACTTGCAAGGTAAGCATAATCCAAATTCAAGTTCTAATGGTTCTAATTTAGGTTTGTTCTTGGCAGATGGTCCTAATTTGAGAACAAATCATTTTCAATTGGGGGAGGATAATGTGATACTGAGCAGCATCAAGAAAGGAGAGCTTGAACCAGAGCATGGAGTCATAGATCAGCTTGTAGCCGAGGGAGATTTTTTTGTAAACAAAGGAGCTAAAGCTAATAAGTTCAAGGAATACATTGGCGTGATACCTACTTATCTATGGAACAAAGAAGATCGCTTGAGCCAGGCTGGAGAAGATGGATTACAAACCACACTGGTTTTAATTCAAGCTCAAGTAGATCAACAATTGGGTAAGTGGCTCAGTTATACTCTTCTTCCCTTACCTTTGGTTTTGTCCCAATGGATTTTCCAAATGAAGGTTTTTAAAGAGGCAATGGTGTCTACTTCTCTCAAGGCCCAATTGTTGATTCAAGAACTCAAGCCCAAGACAAATTTTGACCAAGAAGTAGAAGGGGCGTGGCATGAAGTAGTCTAAGAGTTATTCAAACCCTTGCATTTATTTCCTTGTAATTTTTGAGTTTGACTAGGTTTTATTCATCTTTTCTCTTTAAATAAGCTTGTAATCTCTTATGAGAACTCATCCTAGATTGGATCATCAAACTTTTCTCAAATAAAACTCTCTCTTTCTCTTATCAAATCTGGACAAAATTCTCTTGTCTCTTTGAGAGCGATTTGCTGCTTGTGCGGCATCTTTATCATCTCTCTACTCTCTATTTTCTCTTGAGAGTGAATCACTGCTTCTGCAGCACCTTTTCAGTTCTCTTGTGATCAAATTATACTCTGAACATCAACCTAATCTATTCATCTCTTCAAACAGAAATCTATTCCACAAACTTCTGTCTCTAATTTATTTCTTAAGCTTCTGAGCGCTGATCCTCCCAAGGATCACATCACACGTATAAGAAAAGTGTATTAAATGCCAGTCTTGTGGGTTTGTAAGGGTATGATCAATTGAATCAGACTAAGAATATTTAAATATTCCTATTGTCAAATAGAGAAAAATTTGAATAGTGTTCCCACATTATTGGATTATTCATACTTAGCCCAGATCTCTCGATATTGGGACCGAGCTGCCGTGGCTAAATGACTTTGCTCTCTGGGTACCTGTGCAGATCACTCTTCCTAATACTCCGACCCTTCCGGATTCCACCGAGCTTAGGTTTATGGCATAGAAAATGTGATCTTTCCTCCTCCTGACCACTCTGTTTCCAACTTCTTTGTGCTTGACAGCATGGCCTGTACTGTCAGATATGAAGAAACCAGGTGGCTCATCATGCCGGATTTCCCGAATCCAAATGGATTTAAAACCCGGTGTTATAAGCTTAGGCCGTATTGGGTTGAAGGTCTAATATGTGTCCTAATTTGATCCAAGAGGCCATATCTGGAAAAAGTCATGAACGCTACAGTCTACATGTAAATATGTAATTCGTAAATCGAATTTATCCCAAACACTATAAATGATAAGGATAAAAAGCTTTATCTGCTGTCAGAATTTGTCCAAGAAGAGAGTCTGCACTCTGCAGCAGTGTTGTATGAACTCCTCCTATTCAAAAGTTTTAAACCTGTAAATTTGTTATTTCCATACTAGTTACTGGATCAGAATTAGTTCATTAAATACTGAGATTTAAGATATCCAGCAATCGCAGTTTTCTTCTACCAGTATTGTTGAGATAGAATCGGTTGGTATTAACTATTGTTAGTTGGGTCGTTTTTTTTCTTTTTTAACTTTTCTTTTTTAACTTTTCTTGTCGCTGTCACTTAGGTTGAGAGATTAAGCGATTATGAAAAGAAGAGGCCCTATAATACGGAAAGAAACCAGAGCAATGCATTGAGCTGATTAAATTTAAAGCATAGCATCTCAGAGTGGTCGCTGGGGGTGGCGAAAATATCTTACATTACAGAAAAATATGTTAGTAGTAATAAAAAGATACAAACCTAAGTTTGCATTGTATCACATGTTAAAAACACCAAAGAGCTTCATCTTCTCCTATCAGTCGTCGTCAGAGAAGGTTATCTTAGTACCGGAGAAGGTTATCTCCTTTTTCTTCTGTTTGGTCTTAAAATAAATGCTAAATCGTCGAAGGCAATCTTGGTACCTGAAATATATCAAAAACGCTTAGTATACCCAAAAACTTGACCCAATGTGCTCTTGATAACAAAACTATAAAGGCAAATAGTTAAATCACTTACCAAAGCTTCTCTACATGGTTGTACCTAATTAACAAAAATAACAGCGTTATTCTTATGTTATGACATCAAAACTATAGCTATAAGGTAGAAAAACCAAACTCCATAATGGAAAATCAATTTACTTGAGTCGGAAAGGGTATGGAACGATCTCAGCTTCGCCAAGAAAAACGGCTCTACGATTCTTCTCTTCCAGGGCCTAACAGTATAATAGATTCAATCAGCAATCGTACTTTCAGATAACTACGTAGTATATTTTTTTTCATCAGAAGTATAACACTACTTTTCAAATGAATACTTAAATACTTTTCATTATTGCTTACTATATAATCTACTCTCACCTTTTTTGCTTCGTTAGCAGAAGCAAACTCAACAAAGGCACAGCCCAAACGCCTACCCCACTGGTCTACAGGAAGTCGAACACGAACAACTTTTGCAGCACTCCTGAAGTACTTGATGCTGTAAAGATGCAAGGATAAAATATCAGTCATGAAAAACTTGCTCCAAGAACGAAAGAGGAAATTAAAAGAGTGCTACTTACATATTTGTTATTCGAATGGAGCGAGAGAAATTGGAAGCAAAGAGCGTCTTATTTCTTACAGCAATTTCCTGAATTTTGAAAAACCAAGTGTGTTAGGACGACTCTAAGGAGAATAGGACTTAAACGCTAAACGTTTTCTTCTGAGCCTGACATCTACCTCATCAAAATCAGGAGTTTCATCAAGTCCTTCCACTGCCGCAACTTCTCCTATCACAAGGCTTTCTCGTCGAAGGTAGTCTTCGTACCTGGAATATATCAAAAAACGCTTGTGATCTCTCCATGTATACCAAAAAACTTCACCCAATGTGCTCTTCAAGATGCAGCTAGTCAAGTCCCTTACCTAATGTTGTAATCTATGCAAAACCTAATTAACAAAAATAATACCGTTAGTCTTCTGCAATGGCATCAAAACTCTAGCAATAAGTTACACAAACAAGTTTTCACCGTTCTTCGTTTGGAGGTTTTCGATGAACAACATCAAGAGAAATCTTAAGATCGTGCAAATATTCACCGTTCTTCTCTCGCAGTGCCTACAGTATAAACGATTCAATCAGCAATCAATACTTGAAAATTTTACATCACACACTGCTTTTTAAATGACTGCTAAAACACGTTTTTATCATTACTATAAATGAATTTCACCTTCTCTGCTTCGTAAGAAGAAGCAAACTCAACATAGCAACCGCACACATGCCTGCCCCTGGGGTCTACCATAAGTCGAACATGAACAACTTTTCCAACATCTTTGAAGAAATCGATGCTGTCAAAAACGGAAGGATAAAACATGAGCCACGAAAAGCTTTTGCTCCGAGAACGAAAGTGAAATTTTTTAAGGTGCTACTTACATATCTGATATTTCAATGCTCTCAAAGACACGATCAACATCGCAGTCAACAAAGAGCGTCTTTTTTCTTACTGCGGCTTTCTGAATTTAATAACCAAGTGTGTTAGCACGACTAACAAAAGGTAGAATTTATGCCCAAAATAAGTCATCTTTCGACTTTGTGGCAACGCGAATTTTCTTCGAAGCCTAACATATTTTGTACCTCAACGGGATCGGGAGTTGCATTGAGTCCTTTCATCAACAAAATCTTATGATCGTGCAAATATTCACCATTTTTCGATTCCAGCGCCTACAGTATACAAGATTTTATCAGCTAAAAAAACTTTTCGAGTCACTTTAATACGTTTATATCATCATTACAACAAAACTACTCTCACCCTCTTTGCTAAGTTAGCAGAAGCAAACTCAACAAAGCCATAGCCCACATTCTTTCCCTTGCTATCTACAACAAGTCGAACACTAACAACTTCTCCAACATCTTCGAAGAAATCGATGCTGTAAAAGTGGAAGGTAAAATATAAGTCACGAAAAAACTTAACTTCAGAAACGAAAGTGGAAATGTAAGGTGCTACTTACATATCCAATATTTTAGTTGTATGGGGAGAGAGATTGGCAATAAAGAGTACATCCTGAATTTAACAGCCAAGTGTGTTAGCACGACTCTAAAGGAGAAAATGACTTTGTGGCAACATTTCTGTTTCTTAGAGCCAGAAATATTTTGAACAGGTACCTCAACAAAATTGGGAGGTGTCTCATCTTCTCTAATCGGAAGGCTTACTCGTTGAAGGTAGTCTTCGTACCTGGATTATCAAAAACCCTTGTGACCTCTCCATGTATATAACTAAAAACTTCACTCAATGATAACAAACTTAAGGAAGCAGATAGTTAAATCCCTTACCAAACTTTGTGATCAATGCAATACCTAATAAACAGAAAACAATAGTGTTAATGTTCTGTAATGTCATCAAAACTCTAGCAATAAGTTACACAAACAAATCTCCGTAGCATAAATAAATTTACATGGGTGGAAAGTATGTAGCTCCCACATCATCAAGATTAATCTTGCGAACGTGCAGATATTCACCGTTCTTCTCTTGCAGCGCCTAGAGAGAGAGAAAAAAAAAAGATTTAATCAGCAAGCCTACTTTCAGATAACCACTTTTCAAACTACTTTTCATCATTACCTTAAACTACACTCACCTTCTTTGCTTCATTAGCAGAAGCAAACTCAACAAAGCCATAGCCCTTAGAAATACACTTGCGGTCTACAACAAGTCGAACACGAACAACTTGTCCAATATCTTTGAAGAAATCGATGCTGTCAAAATGGAAGGACAAAACATCAGGCCACGAAAAGCTTGCTCCGAGAACGAAAGACGAAATTTAAGGTGCTACTTACATATCTGATATTCCAGTTTGGGGAGAGAGACGGCCAACAAAGAGCGTCTTTTTTCTTACGGAAGCTGCCTGAATTTAACAGCCAAGTGTGTTAGCACTGAGTCTAACGAGAAAAGGACTTAAATTGCATAACAACAGAAAGTAAATTTATCCATAGAATAAGTCATCTTTGGACTTTGTGGCAACAGTTGTTTGTGTTATTAAACGCTAGAGCCTGACGTGATATGAAGATGATAATAAGAAGAAGAAGAGGTACCTCAACAAAATCGGGAGTTTCATCATCAAGTCCTTCCACGGTCTCCTGTTAGTTACATGAGTAGACATTAGACAATGGAACACAATTTGGAGATAAGAAGAACCAAGACGCTTAATCGAACATAAACTTGTACAAAATACACTATCTAACAAACAATATAAGACCTTCACTGAGATCAAATTAGGCTGATCAGACTTTGTCTCCAACATCTGGACGCTTCCTTTCGGTGTCTCCTTCTCCTCCGATTTTTGCTTCAGAACCGGTTTGGTCTCCAAATTATCTTCCGGCTTTCGCTTACGCGATGGATTAGCTTTGGCCATGGAGAAGAAGAAAAAAAGCGACGGGTTATATTTTTGCCGGGAATTCGACAGCAATAAGTTATGTAAATTACCCTAGTGGCTAGGACAAAATTTTGAGTTGGGCTTTTGTTGGTTCGGTTTCGATAAATTAAAGCATTGAAATCAATACGAAGTGGAGTAACCAAAACGGTTTTTAGGTGATAAATTTAGTTTTTTTTTGTTTCCACTAAATGCGCATAGTAATGTTTTTTTAAATGGTTTTATATGAACCAACTAAAAAACATTACTATCCCATACCTTTTCTTCTTCTCATAGATTACTTATACCATATCTAAAGACTTAGAGCACCTCCATTGGTGCTCCTTAGACAAAAATTGACCCAAAAACCTAGGTAAACTCATTTTATAAAAATGTTTTAAGCCCAAAATCGCTCCTTAGATAAGAAATAAAGGAGCTGTCTCTAACGCCACGTGGAGAGTGATAATTGGCCAGAGTTTTATAAATTTTTTTTTTTATTAATTTTTTTTGTTTGGGAAATCATTTCGTGGACTTAGAAAATTTTTTCGACTCTTTTACTTCTCTCTCTTTCTCGATGGCGGTTCTCTTCGCCGGAGCTGAAATCGTCGGTCCGACACGGCGGCGTCTTAATCTCTCTACAAATGATGACACCAATCGACATGCAAGGTAAGATTCCACTCTCGTAATTGCTTCTTGTTTAGGTTGGAGGTGAAATCGTCGATTTGGAGAAATTTTTTAGGGTTCGTCGATTTGGGAGAAATGATTTTCTCCGTTTAATTGATCTGAATTAGGGTGGTTTTTCGAACACAATAGGTGTGTGCGTGACTTCGTAGCAATCATTGACGCCGATTGAAGATTAATTTTGTTAATCGACTTTGTGAAATTAGGGTTCGTGGAATTGGGGACAAAGATTTCGAGTTTTTTTTGTTTCGGTTTGTGTTGTTTGGCTTGTGATATCGTTTAGGATTAGGTATTACGAATGATCAGTCGATTTGGTGAAATTTTTTGTTTGTGTTGTTCGGCTTACGAATGATCAAGTTTGTGTTGTTTGCATTGATTGTGTTCATCATCTATATGGGTCATGAGCATCGTTTGATTGTGTTCTTGTAATATGTTTCATTATTAACGTGTAAATGAAAGAGAGTTGTGAATGAGCTATGGTATGATATCGATCAACAAGCCATATACCAAATCGGTTGCTTGTAATCGGTTTCATTATATGGTTGCTATGGTGTGACCTTTGTTGTTTTAATTTGTAGTTTATTTTATGGTTGAGTGCCCATTTAATCTTGTTTTATGTTAAATGCACCGTTGCTTTTTGTTAGGTGAACAAGTTAAAGCTTCCATTGATAAGTTGTTGGTGTAGTTATTTCCATTGATAGGTTTTAACATTGATAATTATTTTGGTTTTGTTTTACGAGGGTAACATGATGGGACAAAAAGAAGATGGAGAAGCTGCAACCGGCTCTGCAACCAACCCTTTTTTATGAAAGGTTAGTCATCTTTTTCCAATGGAATTAACTTCTTAGTTACGTAGGATGGTTGGTGATAAATGGCTGTAGTGTTCAATGCATAGATGTGGTTAACTTCTATGACCGGTTTACTCTAGTAATCAATGCTTATTAGGTGTATGATATTAAATGATTTCTAACTCTTTAAAACCCATCATAAACCTTAAACTAAAACAGTACACTTCTATCTCTTTAAAACACAGCAATTTTCACAACAATCTCTCTAAACTTCTTCTAAAACACTAACTTCACTCCATAATGGAATCCGAAAGCCATTATGGTCCAACCGAAGGTTTTGTAAACCTTTTAACGAGCCAGATCATTGACCTTGGATCATCACAAGTGCCTGTGTTTGGTACTCAACCTTTTGGTGAATCAAGCCCAGGAGTTAAGCAATCGGTTTGATGACATATTACAAGGTCGAGCCCCAAAAGTGAGGTACACCGTCAACGGTCACAACTATAAGTTGCCTTATTACCTCACCGACGGTATCTATCCGAAATGGGCAACCTTTATACAATCCATTCACCTTCCACAAGATGAGAAAGCAACAACGTTTGCTAAACATCAAGAATCCGTCCGGAAAGATGTCGAGCGTGCTTTCGGGGTTCTTCAAGCCCGATTTGCTATTATTAAAAATCCAGCACTCATCTGGGATAAGGAAAAGATTGGGAAGATTATGAGGACATCCATTATATTACACAATATGATTGTGGAAAACGAACGAGGTAACCGCAGTCTGTACGATATTTCAGGATTCCAACAACCAGACGGAACCAGATCTTCACACGTTGATATGACGTATTCTACGGATATGCCTACAAATATCAACAATATGATCGGAAATCGTAACGAAATTCGTGATAAAAAAATACATGAACGTTTGCAAGCTGATTTGATGGAGCATAAATGTTGTTGTTTGAAAACGCTAAACCCTAAACCTAAAACGCAACATACTATTTTATGCTCTAGTCTTATACTTAATTAAAGGCTAAAACACATACCTTACCATTACCAATACTAATCAAGATAAGAAAATCAACTTTTAACGTATGGTAGTACTGAATACTATTGGATTTCATTGGATTCGAAACGGTTACTATTAGTTCGGTCTCCATTTAAACAAACAACGACTAAAACAAAAGTTACTATCCCATATTTTGGGTTTGTAGAACAGTAGAACTAGAAGTCGTTTCTTCTTAGATATGTTACGTTTTTGGTAGCGACCTAATGTTTCTTCTTCCCATATAAGAAAGTTTAGTATTATTAAGTACCGCTTTGTTTTTAAAGGAGAAAAGCACTTGGGTCTTATGTAAATTTTCTTGACGCTAGCTGTCACTGTTTGAGCGACTATCGAAATTGAAAAGCACAAGCCCTACAATACGGAGAAACCAGAGCATCGTATTAAGCGATTAAAGAAAATCTTACATTACAGAAACATATTTTACTGGTAATAAAAAGTTATAAGCTTGGGTTGCATTGTATCACAAGCTAAACACACCGAAGAACTTCATCTTCTTCTCCTATATCTCGTCAGAGAAGATTATCTTCTTCCCACTCCAATGAGGTGTTTCCTTCAGTCTCTTTGGGTCCGGTTTGGTTTCAAATTCAAGGCTAAATCGTCGAAGGTTGTCTTCGTACCTGAAATATATTTAAAAACCATGTGATCTCTTCGTGTATACCAAAAACTTCACCCAATGTGCTCTTAATAACAAATCTCAAAATGTAAATAACTAAATCCCTTACCAAAGCTTCTCTGCAAGGTCGTACCTAATCAACAAAAATAATAGCGTTAGTCTTCTGTTATGACACTAACACTATAGTCTATCGCATTAAGTTAGAAAAACAAATCTCCATAATGGAAAATCAATTTACTTGAGTCGGAAAGGGTATGGAGCTATGTCAGCCTCGAAAAGAAAAATCATGCCACGATTTTTCTCTTTCAGCGCCTACAAAACAAGCGATTTACTCAGCAATCCTACTCTCAAATGACTACTTGCAAATTTTTTTTATCATAAGTACACTCAAATGACTACTTCAATAACTTTCACCATTGCTTACTATAATCTACTCTCACCTTTTTCGCTTCGTTAGCAGAAGCAAACTCAACAAAGGCATAGCCCACACGCTCACCCCACTGGTCTACAATAAGTCGAATACGAACAACTTCTCCAGCACTCTTGAAGAACCTCTTGCTGTGAAGATGGAGGATAAAATACAAGTCATGAAAAACTTGCTCCAAGAACAAAAGAGGCAATTAAGGATGCCACTTACATATATTTCGGTTTAAAGTTTTCAGAGAGATTAGCAACAAAGAGCGTCTTTTTTAAGACGGCAACATCCTGAAATTAACAGCCGAGTTAGCACGACTCTAAAGGACTTTTATTGCATAACAACAAAAAGTAGATTCATCCTCAGAATAAGTCATCTTTCGACTTTGTGGCGACAGTTCTCTTATTAAATGCTAAACGAGCCTGACAAAGATAATAAGAACAAGTACCTCAACAAAATCGGAAGGTTCATCAAGTCCTTTCACTCCCGCATCTTCTGCTTGTCGAAGGTTGTCTTCGTACCTGGAATACCAAAAACTTCACCCAATGTACTCTTGATAACAAACTCAAGTATGCAAATAGTTAAATCCCTTACCTAGCAAAAGCTTCAACATTGTGATCTAGGCAATACCTAATTAACAAAAATAATAGCGTTAGTGTTCTGAAATGGTATCAACACTCTAGCAATAAGTGTTACATGAACAAATATTAAATTACTTAATTTGAGGGTATGGCGTCTCAACAACACGAACAACAATGTTGCGATCGTCCAAACATTCACCGTTCTTTTCCAGCGCCTACATAATGAAAGATTTAATCAGCTATCGTACTTTCCAATAATTACTAAAATACTTTTCATCATTACTATACACTACTCTCACCTTCTTTGCTTCGTTAGCAGAAGCAAACTCAACAAAGGCAAAGCCATTTTGTCTGCCACGGCGGGTTAGAATAAGTCGAACATGAACAACTTCTCCAACATCTTTGAAGAAACCGATGCTGTCAAAATAGAGGATAAAATATCAGTCATGAAAAACTTGCTGCCAGAACGAAAGTGGAAATTTAAGGTGTTACTTACATATCTGATATATTCTTTTTTATGGGAGTGAAATTGGCAACAAAGACCGTCTTATTTCTTATGGCAGCTGCCTGAATTTGACAGCCAAGTGAGTTAGCAACAACAAAAGCAGCGTCAACAAAAGCAACAAAAGATTCATCCCTTGAATAAGTCATCTTTAGACATTGCGTCAACAGTTATGTATCAGATATTTTAAAGATAATAAGAACATGCACCTCAACAGAATCAGGAATTTGATCAACTCCTTTCATCAACAAAATGGGATGATCGTGCAAATATTCACCATTCTTCTCTTCCAGCGCCTACAGTATTAAAGATTAGTCAGCTTCAGTACTTTCAAATAACTACATATATTTTTCATATAGTACTTTTCAAATTAAGTTTTTACTTTTTCATCATTTCTACAAAACTACTCTCACCATCTTTGCTTCGTAAGCAGAAGCAAACTCGACAAAGCCATAGCCCAGATGCTTGCCCATGCGGTCTACAGCAAGTCGAACACTAACAACTTCTCCAACATCTTTGAAGAAACGGGTGCTGTAAAAGGGAAGGATAAAATATCAGTCATGAAAAACTTGCTCGAGAACGAAAGTGGAAATTTAAGATGCTACTTACATTTGTACCATTTTATTTGTTTGGGGAGAGAGATTGGCAATAAAGAGTACATCCTGAATTTAACAGCCAAGTGTGTTAGCACGACTCTAAGGAGAAAAATACTAAATTCGCATAAAACAAAAAGTAGCCATTTTGAAGATAAAATAAAAGGTACCTCAACAAAATCGGGAGGTGTCTCATCTTCTTTAATAGGAAGGATCGGAATGCTTTCTCGTTGAAGGTAGTCTTGGTTCCTAGAATAACAAAAACCCTTGTGATCTTTATACCAAAAACTTCACCAAATGTGCTCTTAATAACAAAACTCTAGATGCAAATAGTTAAATCCCTTACCAAACCATGTGATCTATGCAAAACCTAATAATTAACAAAAAGAAATCGTGTCAATCTTCAGTATATGGCATCAAAACTCTTGCAAAACTAATCTCAATGACATAAATCAATTTACTTGGGTGGAGGGTATGCAGCTCCCCTATTTGCTGCATCAACAAGAAGAATCTTACAATCGTGCAAGTATTCACCGTTCCTCTCTTGCAGAGCCTAGAGGATAAAAGATTTAATCAACAATCCTACTTTCACATAACTACTTTTCAAAAAATTACTTTCATCATTACTCTAAACTACTCGCACCCTCTTAGCTTCGTTAGAGGAAGCAAACTCAACAAAGCCACAGCCCAGTTTCTCATCCATGCCGTCTACAGTAAGTCGAACACGAATAACTTGTCCAACATCATTGAAGAAATCAATGCTGTGAAAACGGAAGGATAAAATATCAGCCATGAAAAAACTTGCTCCAAGAACGAAAGTGGAAATATAAGATGCTACTTACATATCTGATATTTTAGTTTGGGGATGGAGATGGTCAACAAAGAGCGTCTTTTTTCTTGCGGCAGTTTTCTCACCAAGTCCTTCCACTGTCTCCTGTTACATGAGTAGCCATTTTGGAGATAACAAGAACAAGATGCTTTTTTTTTTACGGCAATAAGAAGAAGATGCTTAACTAAACTGAGCATAAACTTGTACAAAATATCAGTAGAATATATATAACTTCCAAAAATCATACCTTCACTGAGATTAAATTAGCCTGATCAGACTTTGACTCCAACAACTCGACCCTTCCTTTGATCTGCTGGACAGTATCAGCAAATCCTTTCGTTGTCACCTTCTCCTCGGAAGTTTCCCTATGTTCCCTCAGAACCGGTTTGGTCTCCAAATCATCTTCCGGCTTTCGCTTACGAGATGGATTAGCTTTGGCCATGGAGAAGATGATGAAAACAGCGACGGGTTATATTTTTGCCGGGAATTCGAGTTGAGAGCAGCAATATAAATAACCCTAGAATTCAGGAAGAAGGTATATGTATTTTTATAAAAACAAAAATCTGGTTTGGGTCGGGCTTAAATTTGGTTCGGTTTTGACAAATTCGAGCACTCAAATCGTAAGGATAGAAATCAAAAAGATTCATTGGAACCAAATTCGATTTTGACAAACAAAGATGAAAATCCGAGTCCCACAAAATCAAAGAGAGCACACACAAGTTATTATTATTGAGCTAGAACTACACGAATAGAGACCCAAATCTACGATGATGAGAAGGTGAAAAATACCTGGTCACCACCTGGAAAATCGCAAGCAAATCATCCGAAGTCATTGCATTTTGCGATAGTGCACGTGGATAGTGAATTCCGGCGCCGGAGTCTACGAGATTGAACTCTGATAGTATGTGTATTCGGAGTAATTTCTTCCAGAGGAAGAGTGATGTTTCCATCTCGAGAGATTGATTGACGAAGAAGAAGCAGAAGAAGAAGACGAGTATTAAAAAAAGGAGAGAGACTTCAACATGTGTAGTTTGCAAATAGGAGTTAATTAGAAAAATAAACGTTTAAGTCAAAGTCAACCTTTTCTATACCTTCACTCTCCCTGCTTAATCACAAGAGCAAAAAAAATCATCTGATCGTTTCGATCGCATTTTTTTCCGGTTAAATTTCTCCGACCATGACCGGAGCAAGCCGTCGGAGCGCGCGTGGTCGGATCAAATCATCATCTACCGGCACCGACGAAGGCGGCGATTCGCTTCGTTATTCCCCGATTACCCGCCGAGGCAGAGCCAAGGAGCTTGTGTCGATCGGTGCTTTCAAGGCGAATCTCAAGATTTTGATTGGGCTAATTATTCTGGGGATTGTAGTCATCTACTTGCTAATCAATCGGTTGTTTGATGAGTCCCAGAACCCTAGGGTTATCACTCCTTTTCCTGCTCCCAAACTCATGGATTTGTCTATGGTACGCGAATATTAAATTCGTTTCTTTTAGCCTTTTTGTTCTTTCTTTTTTTTCGTTTGTGAGAAATTTGAATTGGAAGATTCGTATTTGTACATGTATCAGTTCCAGGGCGAGCACAAGGAGAGCTTGTACTGGGGAACTTATCGTCCTCATGTTTATTTTGGAGTTCGTGCAAGGTATGATGCGTAAAGCAGCAAAAGTCTGTTCATTTTTATCTGGGAATGTATCAATTCTCGTATTATGTGAGATTGAGCTCCTTGTACAAGAAAATAAGTTGAATACATGGCAATACAGGACTCCACTGTCCCTGGTAGCTGGCTTGATGTGGCTTGGTGTCAAAGACGAGATGTATGTTATGCGGCATTTCTGTGAAAACTCCGATGATCTTAGCTCATTTGGCTGGAGAGAACACAATGGACGGGATTTCGGGCGGCAAGAGCTTGTTGAAAACGATATGATATTGGAGACAAGTTTTGTCAAGTCAAACGAGGACAGCCTTGGTTATGGAGGGGATTGGGCAGTTCGGATTGATGTAAAAGATAAAGGGTAATGCCTCTTTTACACTAGTAGTATATTAATATTGTGTTCATGGTGTCTGCTTTGTTGTTTTGGCTTATAGATAGTATTGACATTCGTTTTGCACTGTGGTGTGACAAAAGCTTCTTTTTCTTTTTTTAATGCCTTGACTACACTGGATTAAACTAGGTCGAATGGTGATGCAAAGAGAAGCGCACATCTCTTCTTTTATTTAGCTGATGAAGGTGGCAATGTTCTAAATTTAGGCCATGATAATTTAGATTTTCAAGGGAGCTCTCTCCTGGTTTCGGGTTCACGTGAAGATGTAGGAGACTGGCAGATACACTTAAAATCACAGGTATTTTTTTTATTTGAATTGCTCTTTAGCGATCTTAGGATTTTTGTTCTTGGAAATATGTGGGTGGCTAGACATTCTCTGTCTCTGATGCTCATCTGGATGTAACCATTTTAAAATGTTCTTCATTTGCAGAATCAGCTTGAGACACATTATTCCGGTTTCAAGACGCCTCACATCTATAATCTGTCTGATTTAGTTCAGCGAAATCTCGCTCTACAGGTCTGCTTGCCATAACTTAATTTAAAAGGGCCCACGGTATTATTTTGTTTTCAAAGACCGTGGTGCTTACATGTCTCTTGACTTGTATGGTTTCAGGCTAGGAAATTTGGACGACTTCAGCTCTCTGACACGTCAGAGGATTCTTCTAACATTTACGTCTTTCAGGTAATGTATGCGTGTATATTGTTGTATCAATATATAAAAAAATGTTCTTAACTCCTATAGAATCTATGATAAGTATGTCCACTTTCAACATATGTTTTTCCATACAGATTTCTGGGAGGCTTCCATTTACGATAGATATTCCCTTCGTCTCCGGGATCAGAGGAGAAAGTTCAAGCGTGGAAAAGCGTTTAACAAGTCTCACAGGTTTCTTAAGTCACCTGTTATTACAATCATCATTAGTGATGAGTTTGATTTTTCTTAGTCTTAGCTTGTGTATTTAACTTGCATTTCAGTTTGAATATGGAAGAACTTCTCATCCGGTAATGATTTCGTTACAGCAACCTTTGCCTTTTGAGTTTCATAACTCAGCTAAAGAACATTTATCTGAAATTTATGCATGGTTTCTGTATGTGTTTTTGTGTTTCTTAAGTGTCACTCAACCCTACAAAAAGCAGTAGCTGTGAGCCATTTCAGTAGAGCTTCCATTAAAGAAAATATTTTCGCTGACAGCATTAATTTTGATCACTAATATCATCGGTGTTGTCTACTTTTGTTGTATTTGCGCTAAGTTCAATATATATTCCATGTAGGCTTGCCACTCTCTGATCTCCTTATAAAGAAACATAGGGAATTTGATGCAAGGTTTAAGGAATGCTTCAACCTTTCTGAAAAGGTATGCTTCTAGTTTTTTGTTCTTTAGACTTAAGTTACCCGTGCTAATAGATGATATTTAGCACACCCATAAGTCGTTTGTCATGGATCGTCTTGATGTAGTTGAGTAGTTGTGAAATAGTCCCCATTAGCAATTCATTCGAAAATGGAGATTGCTGAACACTTTAGCAATTTCATTGTTTACTTCTCAGAATCTCCTTCCACTACGATTAGTTTGTCATCTCCTAGCTGCCATAACGTACATATAGTCATATAGTTAATAGTCCTGCATCTATCTGAATCGATGGTTATAGAAGAGATGAGGATCTCAATCTCAGTTTGCTGTGCTTCCAGCATGATTCAGAAACATTGGGTGTTGGCAAGACTGCAATTGCAAACATGCTTGGTGGCATTGGTTACTTCTATGGTCAATCAAAAATTTATGTTCCTAAAAGCACAAAGGCAAGTATTATCATCCTACTTATTGTGTATCGATATTTCTATCCCTTTAGTGCCCTTCCCATCTGCAAACTAGGTTGGATCTCTCATAGAATCACACCACTGATACTTCTATTGCAGCCTGAAAGTCGGGATGATTTCTTGCTATATTGGCCAGCCGAGCTGTACACCGCTGTTCCAAGCCGGCCCTTTTTTCCTCGGGGATTTTTGTGGGACGAAGGTTTCCATCAATTGTTGATCTGGTTTGTTCTTATTGATCATTCGTATCTTGAAGATTTCATTGATCTGTTGCTATTGTGATTGTTTTTAAAATGGATTTCCTGAAAAGCCATGTTTTTTTGAGAAAATGTCATATTACAGAGTTAAAAGCTATAATCATCACGCTGGTTGATCATTCTTTGGAGTGTGTTGTGTACTTTGAGCAGGCGCTGGGATTTTCGTATCACCTTGGATATTGTTGGACACTGGTTAGACCTATTGAACATAGATGGATGGATCCCACGTGAGCAAATTTTGGGTGCTGAAGCTCTGAGGTATTTTACGCTCTTTCACTAACTGTGGTAGTCATGGTTATAGTTGTAATTGTTTTTGAGTTTTTCTTTAACTGCAGTAAGGTTCCAGAGGAGTTCGTAGTTCAGTACCCGAGTAATGGCAATCCACCAACACTATTTTTGGTGATACGTGGTAAGAGTCCGTTGTACTTTATACCTGTCTTCTGATCATCGCTCTCATTTTTGCTTCCTGTGAACCCTTGTGCCATATCCTTCTGTTGTTTTACAACTATTTCTGTAACTGTCACAGTTAGATGTTTAGAACTTTGTCTCCAAGATCATATGAGTGCTTGCACCTTGCTACTCAGTTTCTGGATTGAAATGTGACGTATTTATGTAAAGTTCGAAAAAGGTTTCAAAATCAATATAGTTCCATGTAGTGACAATTGTTTTTATTTTTCAGATCTAATTGATGGTATAAGGACGGAAAAGTTTATCGCTTCAGAAAGGGATGAAATATTGTCATTCCTTGAGCGGGCTTCTGTACGCTTAGATGCATGGTTTCAGTGGTTTAATACTTCCCAGACAGGTAACAACTAGCTATCTTCTAGTTTTCTGGTGTAAATCCATTTATAGATTTACAGGATCCTTTTAGCATTCAACTGCTGTGTGTTTTAGAGTTTGTAGTATCTTAAGTGACTATTGTTTACAATCACAGTTGTATCACTATTTGTTAATCTTGATCACTAGATGTGACGTGTTTTTTTCTTTAACTGGTATTACAGTCTTAATATGCATAAATGGGCTAGTTCATATATTATGGTATTCATGACTTAATTTAACTTTAGGCAAGGAGAGCGGAAGCTACTTTTGGCATGGCAGAGACAACACAACAACTCGAGAACTTAACCCTAAGGTACTAATTCTTGGTTTCTCATGAAAATGCTATTTCTTGTTAGCGACAACATGTCTCAATATTCTTTTGGTGTGTGTGGGAGGTGATTTTTTAGTAGGATTGGATTATCTGCGGATTTGGCAGTTCAACTAAGAGATCTTCAGCGATAAATATGATGTTTTATATTTCCTGCAGACGCTTTCCTCGGGGCTGGATGATTATCCCCGGGCTTCGCACCCAAGTGAAGATGAGCGACACGTTGATCTTAGATGCTGGATGTACCTCGCTGCAGATTGCATGCGTTCCATCTCAGAGCTTTTAGGAAACGAAGTTAAATTTTCAAAGGTTAGCACAAGATGGAAAGTCAAGGGGTCTCTCCTTATTTTTTCTTCACATGTTACTGACGCAAATCCTGCAGGAGGATTACAATTCAACTGCCAAGCTCCTTTCAAATTTCGATCTTCTGAATCAGGTCTATTCGCTATCAGAGTCAACAATTTGCTCACTTCCATTGATTATGACGTTGTTGTTGATATATATGTAACTTGATTATATAAGACATGATTTCTTTCTCAAATGTGTATCGCATTAACTTCGTCTTTTTACCATTCTCTCTTTCTCATTCATGGTTAATTTCTGCGCAGATACACTATGATAAGGACCATGGGGCTTATTTCGACTTTGGTAATCATACAGAGAAAGTAAGAGAAACTTCATATAGAATAATAAGCTTGAGTATCATTTTTGTCATAGAGAAGAAGAACGTAGGATTCTTTGTCTTTCCGTTAAACCACGTGTTGCGTCGATTGATCTGCAGGTTAAGTTGATATGGAAAGAGATAATTGCAGAAAATGGGCACCTATCTCGACAGCTTGTAAGGAAGACTTTTGGAAAGCCGAAGCTAACATTAGTTCCTCATGTGGGTTATGTCAGCTTCTTTCCCTTCATGTCTAGAATCATCCCAGCTGTGAGTGTTTGTGCTCGTATCTATTCCAATCTTTTAAACCCTTATAGATCAGTTTCTTATATGACCTAAATCTTCACATATATTTGGTCGATAAAGGAATCTCCAATCCTCGAGAAACAGCTTGATCTCATTTCAAACAGGAGCATCTTATGGAGTGACTATGGACTAGTTTCGCTTGCCAAAACCAGGTGAGCCCACAAGAACGAACATACTCAGAAAAAGTTAGTTCTTCCATGATAATGAAAGAACATTTTCTTGATACAGTTCAATGTATATGAAACGTAACACTGAGCATGATGCACCATACTGGAGAGGCCCTATCTGGATGAACATGAACTACATGATTCTTTCGTCTCTGCATCATTACTCTAGAGGTACTTTTCTACCCTCCACATGGTAACAAGAAGAGAGACATCGTTCTACAAGGCTTCTCCTTTTTAATTACACCATATGCATTTGGTTCACCTTGTGTCAAGCAGTGGATGGGCCATACACCGAAAAGGCAAAAGAGATTTACAAGGAACTAAGGAGCAATTTGATAAGGTATACACTTCTATATGGTATCCGCGATATTGGTCTTGTATTGTATGGTATGAACTTGAAACATGTCATAAAAATACAGGAACGTGGTTAGAAACTATTATCAGACAGGGTACATCTGGGAACAATATGATCAAGATAAGGGAACAGGCAAAGGCACGCGTCTCTTCACCGGCTGGTCTGCGCTTACCTTGTTAATAATGTCCGAAGAGTATCCTATTTTTTGAAGCTCCTTTTCTCCAAACTCATGCAAAAGTAACTTAAAACTATAAACATATGTTAGTTAGAAGATGATCAGTTTTGATGTAGAGCTATCAGTTTTGATGTAGAGCTTTTCATATTCCCTCATGGTTGGTTCTAGTGTTTAGCTCAAAGAAGAAGACTTAAGGCAAATAAACAAACTTGTCGACTGTGGATAATGAAGAAAACAAAAAAAGTTTCACAAATCAAACGTGAATTGCATTAAAACATAAATCAATCATATGTTACAACGTACAATCGGAGGAGAATCACCACAACACCATAGCAGTTCGAAACAAAAACACTCCACTTTATTCAAAAGAATTTCAAATCAGTGTATAAGAAGAGACAATGCTCTCTTTGATTTGCAACAACAATGCTAGCACTTACATCATCAATCAGGCTGTGATTGTGACGCTGCAAACGCAAGAACCAGACAGTTTTATCTCACATGTTTTCCACTGCCTGCCTGGTGCAGCATCCGGGTCATACAGTAAAGTACTCCGACCGGTTTCTTCCTGAGACGAAAAGAGCAGAAGCTTCCCACTCAGCTTACCAAACTGAAACCCGGCCCTCGAGCTTCCTGACAACGGAAGAGCCACTACTTCCCAAGTATCATCTTCCGCATTGAACACCGACATCTTCCTCTGGTTCTTCCATTCGATGCAGAACAGCTTTTTTCCTACTTCAACATGAGCTGTGACCATCTGCAAAAGTATCAAAGCATCCAAATTTTCAAAATAGTCCAAGCATACTATCATCTGAAGAGAAACCAACTTAAGATTCACACACAATAATCAAAGACTAAACATATAAGACTCAAAGATGACTTACAGTTACACCGTTTTTGCTGCTACACCAGGAGCCGCATTGAGGGTTGTACACATCAACAAGTTTTGAGTTTCCAATTGTGAAGTTGGATCTCCCACCCATCACGTAGAGCTTCCCGTTGAAGCCGCTAGCGAAACAGCCCCATCTTGGACGCCTCAGAGACTCAATGAAAGTCCATTTGCCCGTCTCTGGATCATACACCTCTGCACTGGACAGACTCTCCCCGTCTACTCCATGACCTCCCACCACATAAACAAGCCCATTCACCTCAGCACAGGCAAAGTCATAGCGAGCTACCTCAAGGTCTGCTAGTCTGCTCCAGCTGATTTCATTTCAAAAAAATCAAACAACATGTTCAAAGTTTGATACTTTATGTATAAAACTCACTGAATCACTGGATCAAGAACATGACAAACCTGTTGAGGCAAGTATCATACTGATAAACATCAGAAGATGCAACATGAGAACCGTTGATCATAGCAAAACCAGCTATCACAAGGAGTTTCCCATCAACCACAACCACCTTAAACCCTGATTTTGCAGGACCAGGCATCGGTGGAAGAGAGGCTAGCTTACGTCCCAAACAGTCCATCACCTCCCAGTGGCTCTCTTCTCCTCCAGCATTCATTGTTAACACATAGAGCCACTCTTCAAGCATACCGGCGAGTCTTCTCACGGTAATAAACTCTTTGCTCTGAACAACAAACCTCCATTTCTTACAGACACGTCCCATGGATGGGAAGCTAGCGCGTGGAACCAGCGCCAGACACAACTTTGCCACATCATCAGACAATCCCGGAATCAAAGGCTCAGACAACAACCGTAAACCAAGATCATCAAGATTTCCTTTGGAGAAACACATGCCGTTGTTTACAATCATTTTCTTCTCACTTACAAAAGGATGCATCTTTTTGACTAATATCTTTCCTCCCCAATAAAAATTTCTAACTAGAGTAAGATTTTGTGTAAATGAAAAAGACGTGATTAAAGAATCTCATGAAACCCGTCACGTATAGGGATTTTCAAAGACAAAGGGATAAACAAATTAGCGGAGAAGAAAGCTATTGAAGTGACCAATGATGAATGATGATTATGTCCAGCCCAATCTAATTCATATTCCATACCAAGAGCTTCGCTTCTACAAACGTTAGGATCTATAATTGTCGTTAAATTGATGTTTTTGTCTCTTCTCACATACATCTCCGTATCTACCAAAACAAGATGAAAGAAATTTGTCAACAACATAAGAGTTAACAAGATTGCAGCAAGAAACAACGGAGAAGAAAACTAGCATACCATTAAAGGTCATGCTAGAAAAGAGGATTTAGCCACCCGCAACATCCATCTTTAGAATTTGCGAATTTTCTGCAAAATTTTTTTTTCCAGATAAGTCAAATTCTTGAACGAAGTCAAGAACCAATAACATCGCAATCGAGAGAATCAAGATCAACAAAGAAGAGATAGGATATCCAAAAAAGGATCAATTTTGGAGAGTTACAAGCTTCATATATAACCACACGAAAACAGGTCAAAAGAAAAATAAATTGAATGGCTATCAATTATTTCCTGAAAAAGGAATATATTAAGATCAAACTCAGAAAGTTGACATTTTTATAAAAAGAAATATCTAAAAACTTCCTAATTCCCAGAATTGGCGAAGATCTCAAAGATTGGAACTTTGTGTTATTCCACATATGAAGAGAAAAAAACCTCCACAAGAATCCAAATTGCAGAGAATTAAAACATCAAAGTAAATATAGCAAGCGATGAGACTGGTTACAGACCTGAAGTGGATGATTCGTTTCCAAAGAGCAAACTTAAAGGGTTAAAAACGAAATCGAAATGGCTAAGACATTTTTATACAATGAAGAGCGAAGATGGCGGAAAGAAAGAGCAGAGAAAAGGATAAAGATGAGATACCGAGAGAATAGGGAGCTTTGTCGTTTTTATGGGTCTTTGTGCCCTCGTTAATGCGTTGAAGTTGGTGCAAAGAAGATAACATTGACAGAGAGAGAGATAATGGTGGAATCGAAGAGAGCGTGAGATTAGGAATTATATAGCAAAATAACAGGAGGCATAACTGTAGAATGGATCTCTGTAGATAATAATGTCAACTAGTCATCACGTCACATTCTCACCCATCACTATTTTAGTATTTAGTTAATAGATTTTATTTTCTTCATATACTTACACACGACATGTTTTGATTTCAGACAGAAAAAAAACAAGTTTCGGTAAAAGAAAATATTCATTATAAATTGTGATTTCGACATCAAGTAGAGCGCGAGGCCAAGATGCCACACTCTCGAAAAAAAAAGCCAAAATACCATGTATTAAATTTGTAATTTAATTTTGATTTTTTTTAATAAGGAAAAACTTGGAGAATACTATCCTCTCCCTATTTGTCTCTTTATTTACACTAAAACCAGGATTAAACCCATCCAAACCCAATGACCCATGGATATCCATCCAACCTCCTTAGATATTTTCATTTATTAATTTATCCTTCTTTTTTGTTAATTCAAAATCGATTATCCCCAAATAATTACACAAATTACATCTTAAATTTACAATTAAAAAAATTTATACCTTCAACTCTCATCGATGAAGCATTTTGGCGCAAAGGAGAATTATACAAAGACGAATGTGATGTTGTTTCACCAACGAAAAGCATTTGGAAGTGAAGCTATTCTGGGTTTTGAAATTAAAGTTTACCAGAAATCCAGCCACGAGGGAAGTGATTTCGACTTTTGAATGAAGGAAAATTGATGAAGCATTGTTCTATATATATACATGAATTTTGGATTTGCAGAGACTAATTTAATAGCTTTGTTTTGGATTTGAAGAAAGCTTGTGTCCCTGAACTTGGTCTGGTTTTCATCTCAACAAAAAATTGGGATTTTGCGCATGAGGTAATCTCGCCGTTGTAACAATTGAGTATCAATTAGATTTGCACCTGATGATCCCCTTCTTTGCTTCGCGGCGTCTAGCTTTCCAGGATCTATCTCCGGTTCGAAGGTCTTTGAACGTCTTTGAACGTCTTTGAACGGCACAGCTCCTTAATTACACCACCGCCAAACAAGCTCTGATGACGTTTTCGAGCTTACACTTGATGCGTTCATGTCTCGGCCAGAGACGTCGGATCCAGAGAAACCGTCGGTGAGATTCTCTTTTTCTGGATAGGATTTGCCGTTGGTAAATTGGATCGAGTGGGTAAATGCGATGGCTGAGTCCAACGCAGTGGTGTGGCAGAAATCCAGCGTTCCAGCGTCTACGACGCGATCATGGCTTTGGTGGAGAGATGGTGCATCAAGACTAACTCGTTTGTGTTCCCTTGAGGCTTAAGTTCTATAAAACGAGAAGCTAATCTGTGTTTTTTTTCAGCTTACATTCTTCACAAAAAGAGAAATCGATTCTATGGAGGAACTTGTTGTCTTGTTGAATATTAGAGATAAAGAATCGAATTTGTTGTCTTGTTGAATATTTGTTATGTCTTTGAAGTCAGAGAAGTTTGATGAACTAATAGCTGCAGCCAATGAAGAAAAAGAAGTTGCAAAAGCTCAGGTGTAGAGATGAACATAGAAGTTTCATGATCTGACTTCTATGGTACAACTAAGTACAACTATGGACAACTAAGTATAATTATAGTACAATTAAATACAATTATGGACAACTAAGTACAACTATGTACAACTAATACTAAGTACAATTTGGTAACTGTAAAATTATAATTAAAATTAATTAAAAATTAATTAAAAAAACATGTGTGCCGACAAAAAAAGAACATATGCACTTTGTAACATGTGCACCATCAATTTTGTACATAGTTATACCCAATTGTCCAGTTGTCCAAAATTCTTCATAGTTGTCCTTTCGTGATTTTAGAATTTTTTTAGTTGTCCCTTAATATAAATTATTATTTTGGTAACCCAATTTTATGTGACGATTGGGTATTTTCATGGATAATTTCTTAAATATAATCGTTGATTCGTAGTGATTCTTAGGTAAATTATAATTATACCTGATTTCATCACCAAATCTGCAGAGGAGGACAACTGGTATGAATAGTACAACTAAGAGATAAGAGGACAACTAGTACAAATGGATATAACTAAGACGACACCTTGAATAATTGTTAATTAAGAATTGTTTTACTATATTTTCAAGAGATAATGAGCATCAGCCACACAAGCAATTCAATAGATTTTATATCATTTAATACCTCATATTTGGAGCAGATAACTTATTCGGTATTACTAGATAAGATACTGTATGTAAGAAGATTGCGATATATGAAACTAAACAGTTTTGGAGTAGATAATTTATGTGGAGAATGAATTGCACACATAAATGTAACTAAGTGAAGTATTTCGGATAATATACAAGAATTTTTTTGTCATACTGCCGAATTACACCAAAAAAAATAAAAAAGTGGTTTCTATTCTCCAAAAAACGTCGCCGAAAGACAAAAATGGATAATAAATTAGATAAGTGGTTTCAGAGCAAAAATAGCATAGAAACTTAATTTGTGTAAGTTTTCGAGTTTATTTTATCCGAAAAGATTTTATTTTAGCTAAGGAAATACATTTTAGCCGAGGAATTTTCATTCTCGATAGCCTTAGACTGTATAGGAGTATTTTGGAGTTATTTGTATTTTGGATTTCTTTGATTTATTGCATTACTATTTATTTTGGAGTTATTGGTGTTTTGAATTTCTTTGATTTCTTTCATTACTATTTATTTTGGAGTTATTTGTATTTTGAATTTCTCCAGGACAACTAGGTGCAACTCAGGACAACTATATTTTAATTGTAGTGTTAAAAAATAAATTCCTAATATTATTTACTTAAAAGCCAATATAACTCATACCCTAAAAACTGTATCTTTCCACGTACTAGAAATAATAAAATAAAACTTTGTTTTGTTCAAAGAACCAAATATTTTTGGTTTCACTTGAAACTGCCCTTATGTTATAAGGAAGTCTTTGGCAATGTTATCCATCTTATGCAAGCGTCTATGCAAAAATATAGGAAATAGAAAAATAATAACGCAAAATCTTTGGGGCTGCTATATAATGATCGAAATTCTTGTGGACAACTAGAACATAATAATTTATGTCGAAGGACAACTGAAAAAACTACAGAATCGATCAAAGGACAACTATTACAAATTTTGGACAACTAGACAACTAGGTACAACTATGTTGTCAGTTGTAGACGCACGTGCGCCGACAAAAAGAGACATGTGCGCAGTCAAAGTACCACGTGCGCCGTCAATTTTGTATATAGTTGTATCCAGTTGTCCAGTTGTCCAGTTGTCCAAAATTCTTCATAGTTGTCTTTTGGGTATTTTAGCAATTTTTCCAGTTGTCCCTTGATATAAATTATTACTTTGTAGTTGTCCACATAATTTTGACTATTGTAGTCCATTTACAACATTTTCATATTATAATTGATGCAAAATTATATTTTTGGCTTTTTTCCATCATAAGATTGTTAACATTATCAATTCTTTGTATCATAAAGAGTGTTTGACAATGTTATCAATCTTATACAAGCGTTTATGCAAAAATATAAAAATAGAAAAATAATAATGTAAAACCCTTGGGGCTGTTATATAATGTTCGAAATTCTTGTGCACAGCTAGAATATAATAATTTCTGTCGAAGGACAACTGAAAAAACTACAAAATCGATGAAAGGACAACTATTACAAATTTTGGACAACTGGACAACTAGGTACAACTATGTTGTCTGTTGTAGACGCACGTGTGAAATACAACTGGTACAACTGGTACAACTGATATAATTATGTAATTTAAAATTATAATTAAAATCTATTAAAATTAATAAAAATACACATGTGCGTCGACAAAAAAGAACATGTGTGCAGTCAAAGTACCACGTGTGCCGTCAATTTTGTACATAGTTGTACAAAGTACCACGACTTTTCTACATTTCTTTAAGTGGATGTTGCTTTTTATATTTATAGTTTTATCATTATTATTTTCTAATGAAAGAATTACATATAGTTGTATATATGTGTCCAGTTATACCTTGTTTATTTCCATCCGGAAAGCATTTTCGGCCAAAAATGAAATCCTCTAGACTAGATTAACTTTCCTAAGTGTCTAGTTATCCGTCAAGGTAACATGTGCACCTATGTGCATTGTCAATTTTTGTACATAGTTGTACATAATTGTACATAATTGTACTAGTTGTCCCTCTCTGCAGATTTGCTGATGAACTCAGATATAATTATAATTTACCTAAGAACCACTATGATTCAACAACTATATTAAAAAAATTATCCATGCTAATCGTCAGATAAAACGGGGTTACCAACCCGATTTGCAATTATAATAAAAGAATTTTCAATCAATAATTATTTAAGTTGTCTTAGTTATACCTATTGTACCAGTTGTCCTCTATCTCATAGTTGTACCAGTTGTACTAATTGTCCTCTTATCTCTTAGTTGTACCATTTGTACCAGTTGTCATTTTTCTGCAGATTTGGTGATGAACTCGGATTCTAATTCTAATCTACCTAAGAATCACCATGATTTAACAACTGAATTCGAAAAATTATCTATGCAAAGACCTAATCATCACATACCAACCCGATTTGCATATAGAAGAACAAACAATTTTGGCAAATCAAATCCCTAAATTTTGAAATCCCCAAATCTGTAAATAAAAACCTAACTATATTTTAAAACTTCAACAACGGTGGTGGAGAAAGGAGATAAAATAAGAAACTGATTGCAGAAGATGAAGAAGAAAAGGAAGAGGCGAGGATTCAACGGCAAAAATGAGATTTGCTTATTTTCAGAATCCACCGACAAAGAAGAAGAAGAGCATGAAAAACAAATTATTTTTTTTAATTAATTTTCGTTTTAAATTATTAATTTTAATAAAATCAATTATTTTTTCACCAAATTCAAAAATGCTACAAAAACTTTCATTAAGGGTAAATTGGGAATTCTATATATATTATGGCCTGTAGACTTGTTTATGGCACAACAGATTTTCTTTTTTCAATTTATGGCATT